TCGCGTCATCGTTGATTATACCTATAATTCTGTGCAAAAAATCGGCGAATTTTAAATCGACATTAGCCAATAAATTCAATCTGTTACTGAAATATGTAATATGAGAAAAAGGAGCGATGTAGTATCGGTTTACAGGAGACACATAGCAGGTTTTGACTGCTTCCAGCGACAGTTAAATATAACACGGTCAAACATTACGGATGAATATAATTACGTCCCGCGAATATTGTACGCTAAAAGTATTTCATTACAAACTGACCGTAACGCAAAGCCGCGTGTGACATTTGCGTTTATTTCTCGATCACTGCTATGTTATTGATAACATACAAAATTTCTCGCATTTGCATTGTAAATGCATGAACAGAGTCATTTTCTGTGTCCGCGAGCTATTATATGTATAAAAGAAATAATTGAACGGATTCACATTGTACGAGGCACATTATGCGGCCCGCCAGATACTATTCTGATTTATCTCGAATAACTGGCTCGTTACATGTCCAAAGAAGAGTATATCATATATTATTTCTGTCATATTTTATTCTGATTTAAACGATAAAAATAAAATCTTAAAAATTTTTGAATGTATCTCTCATTATTAGCAACGTAAATTCTAACCGAAGTTCATTAACTGCGGTCAGATAAATAATTAAAGCTTTAACGCCGTTTATCTGTTAATTTTTCACAAATGAAATTAAACTAGAGAAAGAAGAAAAATTTGACTATCCTGTTAATAAGAATATCTCGTCGGAATTAAGTTGTACGAAATTCGATGTGCTTCATACACAAGCGCAAATGGAGCATACGAGAAACATTGACCCGGGTCAGTTAACCCTGAGAGATCCCTTTGCAGCCTTTTACATGTAGGGCTATCGAGAGTAATCGGAAGTGTCTTTATCGTGAGCACGCTGCTCGTTGAAGCTTATAACTTTCACCTTTATCATTCTCACCGCTCGAAGCCGGAAGCCCTTTGTCTCTTTGTCTTCTCTTGCCTTTCTCTTCGTTTGCTCACCGACGAAACGATGCGTAAATCGTTATTTTTAAAACCAGATTGTTACTCCCAAAAATATTTTTTCTTCGCTCGTCAAACTGATTACCTTGTTTCTTCTTTACGTGGGCTTTTTTACATATTTTATCTACGCATTGTTGGAAAATATGTTGCTAAATAGATTCTTAATCTAGAGTACATGTATTATATAAGTAAAACATATAACAAGATATCAAATTTCCTATAAATTTTTTAAATAGCCAGTCATAAGGAAAAGCAAAAAATTGTTAAGAAATATAATTTATATATTTTTCATAAAAGAAATTCTAATATCCAAGTAATAAGCGAATTTGTCGAATATTTTCTCTTAAGAATGCCGGAAGGAAGGGATAAAAGGTAAGAATTACATCGCGTAGATCGTTCAACACTCGGTGATTTCTTTTCTCGCGATCGACATTATCCGTTTTCCAGGCATCAGGGCAGCAGAATCGATTCCTATTCCGATGGCGTAATATTCGTCAGGCACGAGAGAACCGACAGCCGCGCGGCGCCGACTTTCGTTTACGCGAAAACTAGCCGCCCTCGTCTCACTTTCAAAGCTTTCGGCGGCAGGGGGAGGGAAGAGAAGAGAGAACGGAGGATACTCGAAAAGTTTAAGGCTCGTAATAAATGGCTCTCGGCGTCCCTCGTCCGCTGGGGCCCGGCACGCCCGGATATCATTAATTAACAGTAATTAACGTGCGCGCCGATCCCCCCTCCGCGAAGTTTCCGCGCGCCGGCAGTTGCGCGTCTTGTCGATGAGGGATGAAATTCACACGCGAACTGTTCCGACGAGTCCGGCGAGTCCATGTATCGAGAAATATCGCCAATAAACCAAAGTCATCCGTAACGGCTGAACGTATTTCTTACAACATTCGATATAAGCTCCGTGTTCGAGAAAAAAGAAGAGAGATGAACTAGAGAAGATTAGAAAAAAAAAAAATAGGACCTAAATGTACATTCAACGCGTTCATTCAGTTAAAATGAATGCGTTTCAATACGACGCGAGACAAACTGTTAACTCGTACAAAATTATTACGCACACGCTA